GAAGGAGGCAGGAGGAGAAGGCAGAGGAAGAAGAGCTACTGGTGGTGGAGGTTGTTGGTTGGATATGGCTGGGCAAGAAGGGGAAGGCAGGACTTCAGGTCTGAGAGAGGGTTGCTGGGAGAAGGTTATCAGTTGGACATATCAGGAGAGACATAGAAAGAGAGACAGAGGTAACAGACCACGTAGCAGGATGTGGACTAGGCTAGTCGAAATATAATTACGTTAGATGACCTAGCTCGGGATTGCCTAAGCTAGGCCTAAGCTATAATAAAATTAATAAGTTGCTGTGTCATTATTCATTCACTGATGGGCCCAAGAAAGTCTGGCAATATTTCTTACAGTAAATATGTCTGACCACTCTGGAGTTCACCCTGGGGACCAATGAGCTTATTACAGAGCTCAGGGTAAGCCTTACAGCAGGAGCATAGAGGAGAGTCTGCACTGCACCCAGCAAGGACTGTATAGATGGAACTCCTCCCCATCCTTCCCCATCCATACTCTAGCCCCTCCCCCAAGACCACATGTAATTAGGGCAGGATAGTTTACAACTGGTTGGGAGGGGTGCCTGGACACTCAGGGGAGGATCCTATGACCTCTCCTTCTATGGGGAATGAAAATAGCACACAGGCCCAGCTGTGACGATATGTTGGGAGTGGGGCCAAGTAGAACCCCTAACGATGGTGGCGTTAGCTGGAATGGCAGTAGTCCTATACAACGGATCCTCACACGAGAAAAGAAGGCAGCTGACGGCAACGATATGCATGCTCTTTTGTAGGAAAATGGCTAGTAAATTATGAACTATAACAGTTGTCAAGAGGATTCCTGGATGATCATTAAGAGTTAACAATTCAACTGATCTCATAGAAAGAGCCAGGAAAAAAAAAAACCACACTCTTCAGTAAAGATGGAAAGGAAGACTCTGAATTAGCAACTTTCATTTACTGTCCTGAAGACAGACACATTAGTCAACCTGGGACAGTTACAGAATGGGATTCTGAAAGACAGGGAACAGGATACTGAAAGTGACGAATGGGCCCCCAGCTTTGGCTCACTTCAGGGGAATTACGGCTGTACTCACGGTCGACATTGCCTGTATTGACTGTTGTAGTACACTACAAGGTAGGTCCGGGTCCAGGGAGCTGGTGCAGATGCTGGAAGCATCCAAGAGGCCTGAATGGGGGAAGGCCAGCACCATGTGGGCTCAGCAGCCATCCCAGGCTTTCTCCACATGACAGTGCTTCCGGTCTTTGTTTTCTAAGAATGTTGTCACCAGGATCCAGTTGGATGAGCTATCCTGGAAGCCTGTAGAACATTCCTATTTAAACCGGAAAAAAAATGTCTTCTAAACAAGGTAGAATGTTTTTAAAGGTACATGTCTCCTTTATTCTCCCTCTCTCTATATTAATGCTCGGTCCCTTGTATAATATTTTCCAACACTATATAAATATATGAACATTGCTTGGCATTTTGCTTGTTATGGTAGAAAGCAGAGGATTACAGGCAGAAAACTCATTTCCCCTTTCCCTCACAGGAAACTTTGTGACTCAGATCCAGGAGACCTTTCTCTGTTTGTCCCCTTCATTAGGCAATAACTCAGAGACCTCTGCCCTAGTGTTGCGATAACTATTTCACATCAAGCGGCAGTAAGACCAGCATGGCCAAGACATGACCCTTGCTGGATTTTAAAAATAATTTTACCCCAGACTTTAAACACACAATAACTGAAACAACAAATAAATATCTAAAACAATCGGTGAAACTGGCTAGGACCAAGGAGGCTTCTAGCTGTCAAAACCTAAACCAGAGTATACGGGAGCCAAGGAATCTGAACTAAGTAAGAATGTGGTCAGATTCACTGCTAGTGTAGACTTTTAGCTGACTCAGTCAAACACCAAAATAGCAACAATGTCTGTGTTGGACAAACTCCCTTTCCCAGCATCCCCTTCCTGCATGACATCCTATTACATTTCTCTAAAAGGAAATCGTGCGTCCGTTGAGATGACACTTGTGCTAGCTTTGCACGAAGCACCAAGACCTTTCCATGCTCTCTTCTCTGCATCCCGCTCGAGGAAACGCTGTCTGGCTATGTAAAGGAAAAGCCTGCTGTCTGGCAGGAGACTGCTCTGCAGCTTGCAAATCACCTATGCGGAGCTTGCCTCTGTTTTCCCACAGAGACAAGCGGGAGTGGAATGTTGAAAGTCCTAGAGCAGCCTGCTGGAGTGGTTCCAGGGGTTGAGAGCACTTGCTGCTCTTCCAGATGACATGTTAGGTTCCGGCATCCATGAAAGGTGCCTCACAGCCACTTGTAACTCCAGCTGCAAGGGATCCCACACCTTTCAATTCCTTAGGGTAAAGAATAACATAATCCTTAAAATCAAATGTGTCTGAGCTCTTGGTGGGACACAGCAAAGAAAGAGATCATAAAAAGCTCTCCATTTGCAGACATGAAAGTTCTTAGACCTTTCCTGGCTCAGAAGCTCTGAAATGGGGCCAGCAGCCTGTGATCACCAAATCCTTCTAGGTAACATCAGTAATTAAACTCAGATAAAGAGTACCTGGTCATCAGGTAAGGAAGAACCTGTTTTGAAAAGCCAGGTTCTGTTCCTCAATAGCTGTGTGCACTTAAGTATGTTATTGTTTTCCGGGTTTATAGAGAGGCTTAAAGGAAACAAAACATTTGAAACCTTAAGTGCAGCGCTGTACTTTGTTTAACAGCTTTCCATCAATCACTGCAACAAAGCACTTGAGATAATTAACATATAAAGAAAAGAAGTCTATCTTTGGTCACAGTTTTGGAGACTCTAGTCATGATGTGTTGGTCCAGATTAGGTGGATTCTGTCCCATCCATGCAAACGAACAAACAAGACAACTTCGGGCAAGGGTCTTTTCCCATCCACATCATGATGAGAACAGGTAGCAGAGCAAACCTATCTTTTTCTTTTAATAGAGTCTTCCTCTGTAGTGCTGGCTAGCCTGGAACTTCCTATGTAGACTAGGCTGCTCTGAAACACACCTGCATGCACCACCACACCTGGCATCCGCTCCTGTCTTGAACAGAGCAAGGATAGGAAGAACTTTAAGAGGCTGTGGTCCCATGGTTCCTCCTGAATTAGCCAAAGCTGGATTTATAGGTCACACCTCTCAATGACTTAAGGGTTCCCCACTGGGCTTCACAGTTCAAAGGTTCTGCCAGCTCTGAACGGTATCACCTGATGGACTCTCAGTGACCGAAAAAGATATAGCCGGGGCATATAGGAAGCATCCAATACGTTAGCAGCTGTGGTCACTGTTATTATATATGACAGGAAAGGAGAAGTGTAAGTCCTTAAGTCTTTGAACATGTTAGCACAGCATTTGCCCACTCTTAAGGGGCCTCCCCAGACTTTGAAACTAGGCTTCTAGGGAACCCAAAGGCCAAACACACTCTATGTGATTCCACTTGGACAGAAATAGAGCAGTGATCCTCTACCCAGGCAAGCATTGGAAACCTCATGCTGTCCCAGACTTTCAGAGATATAATCTCTAACGGGAGAAATTGAGCAACTCTAACTGTTCATAGGCTAATGCTTAAAAACTATTAGAATCAATGGTGACAGCAATTAGAACAATTATGTGTGCCAGACTCTATGCTAACTCCATCAAACACACACACACACACACACACACACACACACACCCCTTTTAAAAAATTGAAACTGGGTCTTGTTTTGTTACCTAGGCTGGATTTGAACTTATGATCCTCTTGTGTCAGCTTTTCAAGTGGTCAAGAGGAATGTACAATACACACACACACACCTCTCTTCATTCAATTTTCACAGTGACGTACTGTTTCCATAGTTAACAGTTGAGGGGAATGAGGTAACAAGAGGCTATATGACAGACACCAAGTTCACACAGAAAAGAAGTGCTTTATGACCTGAACGCAGGTCTGAGCTAATACACGCATTTAACTGCTGCAAAAACTGTTTCCATTTACCCGTTCCCCGGATGGACATTTATTATACATGACCAGGTAATACACTGAGAGCTGGGGGATATCAAATGAGTATAGATTTCCATCTCCACCCTGAAGGTGCTCATGCCCTTATAGTGCTCAGAAAAAGCATAGAGGGGGCTGGCTTCATTTTTAAAAGATGATGTCATGTGCCTCAGGTCTCCTTTTGAGAGTCTGAAAACGCTGGCTACTTCCCACTAGCCTCCTTCGCTCAGTGACCGTTTACTCAATCTATCACCATTGGCACATAGTCCTCCCGGCCTGCCTACAGGCTGCTAAGGATCCCAGCAACCCTAGGGTAGCCTTGGAGCCAGTGTTAATAAGCCCTGAGAGAGGGTCTCTGTGCTCTGCTGTCTAGGCTGGCAGTGTTCATTCAGTCATTTAGCCAGCCCTGGGCGTCCACTGCGGGCGGGCAAATCAGATCGTGGGAAGGGCGTGTGCTTCAAAGCTGGTAGGTTGGTGCTCTTCCAGGACTGGGCACGTCACTTAAACCTGTAATAACAACTATTTCGAAATTCCTCAGAAAGAAACGGGGAAAATATTGAGGCTTGCTTTTTAGAATCGTGACATGCTAGCGCGGACCAAATCCTTAGATACAGTGCAAGTGTATCAAGTGGTAAACAGCACCAGGATCCAAGCCAGGCTAAGACGGGGCTCCGACTCCATCTGCGACCTCTCACTGCCTCCTAGAGTCGGAACTGAGTATTCTTTCAAGTAGACAAAAAACAAAAAACAAAAACCTTACTAAAGTCCAACAAATCGTCACCTTGCACGAAGGCGAGTGATCCTTCCAGGAGGGCTGTCTTGTGGGACGCCTCCGTCGTCTCTAGATTGGGGACAGACAGCAGTCCTTCTGTCTTCTTTCACTGCAAGAATGTAAGTGGGGGGGGGGGGCCCCCCCGGGGGGGGGGGGGAAGGCGGGGACTCGGACCCTTCTTCAGGTTGCACAGGGAAGGTAGCGGCGGAACCTTTCTTCTCTCTCACTTGAGCTTCCGCTCCGGCCTCTTTGGTAACGGAAACAGTAGAGGAGGAGACTTTAAATATGGACACGTCAGGTTCTGGACCCGGGGAGCCTTCTACGTTAGAAGCTCCAGGGTCTCCGGAAGATCGATTGTTTCTGATTAAAGGTATGCTTGCCCTGCGCTGGGATGTGATGTTCTTGAACACATTCTGTTCTGAGAGCCCTTATCGTAGGCTTTATTCTGAACACAGCCAGTGCGGCCCATATATCACTCACTGGGTGAAGTCTCCTTGGGCTAGGGCGAGTAAGTCCTGCCATCTAGTCTCCAGTCCATACTGTATTTACCCATCCCGATATATAGATTTTTCTCGTGTCCCGCCCTTTTCTGATTGCCACTATCTCTTCTTCCTGTGGAAAAACTTCGCGCTGCTGTCCTAGAGGACAGAGGGAAGGGAAAACACACCCATTCTCAGCCCTAAAGAGTCAAGCTTCAGAGTGTCCCCTTGAACCAGAGGTCGTGAGATCACGCAGGTTTCCCGTTTCCCAAGAGTCGCTTAGCCATGATGCTTCGAGTTTTGAATGTAATCCTGAAAGTATCTGATACTTACGTGTGCACTTTAAAAAAAAAAAAAAGCTTTATTTTCAATCCCTTCTCCCAATTCTTGGCAGGTGGAATTTTCCTTGGTTCTGCAGCCGCAGCGGGAATGCTAGCTGGATTTGTTACAACATTATCATTAGCTAAAAAGAAAAGTCCTGAATGGTTCAATAAGGTTTGTGACTCTGAAATCCATCCATAGCATTGCTATTGTTTTTAACAAAAGACAACTTTTTGCATACGAAAAAATAGTGACCTTCACTCACATTGTTTTAAAAAACACACCCTCATTGGTTTAAGAAGTATACTAGTTGTCAGTCTTGATCTTTTTCGTGTGCTTCCTTAAAATTAACAGAACGAGACTTTGAAGAATAACTGAGCAAAACTTTGGGAACCTATTCATTGTTTTCCCTACAGCATGAATAAGTAATTTAGTATTGATAATAAGAGAACCTGCTTTGAAGAAAAAGCAATGTTACTTAAGTTGCAAGAAGTATATTTCATAGATGTTAAAGTTTTAACATTCTTTAGAATGAGTGAAAATTTTGTTTTTGTGTTTTAATGCAAGGGCCAGGCGTTATTCAGCCACAATTGCTATAAAGTGCCTGGCACATAGTAGCTGCTCTGAAAGGATTGGATGACTATAACCCACTTGAGACAGAAAATCATTATTCTGTTAGTAAGATTGTACATTTGCTGTCTGTCGTGTACCTGCTTTCCCTGGTTGGCAGGGAATTTCTCGATACATATTTGTAGTTGCTTGTAATATTTTGTCTTTTCCCCTCCCACCCATATTGCTGATTTATTGTTTACTTCGCCTCAGCAATTGTTTACTTGGGATCCTTTATGTTTCAGGCACACTATGATTAAGGTGGAAAGGGTACAAGAATAAACATGTCTATCCCTCAGGAATTTAAATGTCTGTTGTGAGAGACACAATTAGATATTCACACAAATAACTATATGGTTAACTTGATGTATGCTACGGAAGAATGTTACTTGAAAAACCATAAACCAATTGAATTCCCTTCCACTTACCTGTAATAGTCATACTTAAGCTTTGAATACTGTAATGACAAGAGACTATAATGTATCTAAAATGCTTTCCAATTCTCTCTCAATACTTTAAAGGTTTATGGAGCTACTAAGATCACTTCTGTGGCCCTAGTGGGCCATTTTCTCCCTGTATTCTGTAATATTTTTAGAGAAGAAATTAATTTGTGGCAGATGTCATTAAGACCTAACCAATATTGGTACTTTAACACCTGAGCTTTGTTTGGTTTCCAAACCACAGGTTTAATTATATTAACCCTTGCATCAGGGATTGTCTTGTTTCCACATACTGACAGCTTGGTTCTTTGTTTTGTCTGGGATTGGATCATGGCACATGCCATTTGTGGTCTAACATAGTTGTAAACTGTAGTCCACAAAATCCGGATGGTCCTTGAGACAACTAATTTCCTATTCATGTTTAGAGACACACAGTGGCATAGTCATGGCGCCGGTAGCATAAAACAGTCCTTGCAGTCTTTGAGTACTTCGTGTGATGCACCAGTAGTTTTTTTAAAAGAATTAAAAGGAACCAACATTAGGTAAATGCCATTGTTGAAAGATAAAATTCTTATAACTATTGAATAATAACACGTGGCTCTGCCTGACTTGTAAATTTCTTGGAAGGTGGGAGATGTGCATGAAGCACCCCTGCTTAATAGTGAAGGCGGTTTCCTCTGGAAGCAGCAGCTGCCTTACCAACTGAGTCAGTGTGTTCCTTACAGAGTATCTTCTTTGTGAGGGGACAGCCACAGACTGTCAGTCACTCAGAAATGGGGTGTTTGTGGCAGGCATTTTCTTAAAAACACAAAGCAGGCCTGACTCTTGAGCAAAGCAGTTGGCAATCTTTGTTGCCAGTGTTAATAAGCTTTCAATTGAAAACACTTGACTGGTAACTGCCATTATCCACTTGATAACTTCTCCATACTTAACAGCTTTGCTGGTGTGATGTTATGACCTGATGATGATTTTAAAATACTGCTTAACCCATGGGATCAACAGTCAAAAGATCCGTAATGTAGATACCAATCCCTTCTGAATAGTCACTCTGAATGGCATAGTGTCCATTTGAAGCACAAAGATGACCAGTCGATTTGAATGTTACAGATGGCAGAAATTTTGATTAATAGAACTCCATATGGCAACCAACCTTCAGAAGGCTTTGTTGTTGTTGTTGTTTAGTACTGGTGTTATTACAAAGAAGGAAAGCTAATAAAATACTTCCTTTTCTAACCACATCAGTGTGAGGCCCGAGTTTTGTCCATACACTTCAGCTATCAATGAAAAATATAAGAAAGCATTTACAGCAGATTGACTACAAATATGAAAAGCTAGCTTTTAGGCTGTAAATTTAAGAAGTGGTGAACAAAATCCTAAAACATTGATCCTCTGTAGTTTTTTTGGGGGGAGGGGTGGAGATAGCTATTTTAATATGAAAATGAGTGTATAACAATTTCTCAGTTTTAATTTCTAATACATTAAATATTGATAAGACCTACATAATTAAACATCTCTGTAGCCTATGTGTAAAGGAAGTTGAGAAACACTGTACGGGTGTCTAAAATGTTCTGTAAGTTTGCTCCACACAGGGAAATGTTGATGTTAGCACCACTCCACTCACCAGATCTCACCCAAGAGCACAGCAGCTGAGTTTATACTGAGCACTGGATTAAGATGCTTCAGTCACCACCCAGAGGACTTCTCTCAGTCCTAATTCCTGGCAGCCAAAGGTTACTGTTGTTACCCACTCTTCTTACGGCCTCACTCATGTGATACACACAGCCCACTGAGGCACTGTGTGTCCTTCCCACCAAACAGCCAGACACACGCATGCGTGGATTTAGCAGTCTGTCCAACATGACACTCCCCTGCCCAAGGAATAAATGTTACTGCTTTTAGCAATGCTTTTATTTAATAAGCTGTACTTCAGCCTGGGAACAAATTCAAATTGCAACCCAAAAGGACTTTGAAATGAGCACCCTTTCATTTGGGGGCTGCCTGTGCTTTTTCTATTTCATGGGGATAATCATGCCCTTGGTGCTTTCTTTCCTAATTGCCAAGTCTTATGCTAGGAAGCTGGATGCTGAAAAAGAACAGTATTGAGCAAACAAATATTATTCTTTTTAATTCCTTGAATAAAGAGAAAGGGGAAAGTGCAAACTGAAGTAAAAAAAAATTATTCCCTTAAATTTCTTTGATCTGTACACACACTGAAAAGAGATAAGGAGAGGGGTTGGGGACAGGTCTGTGTGTGTGTGTGTGTGTGTGTGTGTGTGTGTGTGTGTGTATCTAAGGCCTAAGATTAGAGCCCTGGGCTGACATGCTAGGGAGCCAGCTACCACCAAACTTTATCTCCATGCCTCCAAGATTATTTTTTAAACCAGTACTTTTTACACACTGGTTTTAAACATGGTTGTGAGACTAAATGAACTGCCATGTGTGAAAAGTATGTGCATGTTTATGTGCGTGTTATGTGTGTGTTATGTCCCCATTTGGTTAGAACAGTGAAAATACAGAATTGATGTGTGTGTACACATGAAGTTTGCCTAAAGTAATTCAGTGTTCTGCTTATCTTAGCATCATGGCCTGGCAGAACTTCATCACATACCTGAGTTATTCCAAAACCCTTTTGTGAGTGGGACAGAACAGGCAGGTTACCAGACATCCTTTTGATATAGCTTTAAATTCTAATAAATAAATAAATAAATAAATAAATAAAAGTTTAAAATTATATTACAGGTTATAAGAGCTACTTTAGTGATATAATTATATCACAATATTGGTCAGATTTAGATGTAGGGAAAATAACTAGATGGACCCTTCTGTCCCCATCTTTCCTGGAGCTCACAGATTTGGCTAGACTGGCGGCCAGCAAACCCAGGGATCGTCCTGTCTCCATCCTCCCAGTGCTGTCATTCTCTCAGGCCAGCATTGCTGCTCCTGGCTGGCTGTGAGACTGGAGATCTGAGCTCAGAGCCTTGTCTGCAGCACTTCACGCACAGGGCCATCTCTCCACCCCCAGATTGATTATTCCTTAAAAACCCATTTGCTGTTTACATAAAATGAATCCCAGGATTACACTGAAAAAGGCTAAAATGTGAAACTTACACAGTTGACCTTTGACATGACAGTTTGCTTCCTATAAATGTGAACGATAGGTCAATTCTTGTTACTTTCTTATGTTCTGGTGCACACTAGGAGAAATATCCATGGCCTCAAGTATTACAAACACGGAATAGAAAATAAGCTGTCTGTTGATTTTGGAAATATTGAGTACAATAACTACAGTATAACTTGTTCTATTCAATTTTCAAATATGGAAGCCTTAATTTTCATTTTAAAAGTGGGCAGGGGAGGGGGTTTAATGATGGGAAATGTAGCTTTTAAAACTTGTGTGTACACACATACACTCATCTGCACACATACACAGATATGTATGCACACAAGGCACACATACATGTGCACACATACACACACAACTTGTTTATATGGCTATATCTAATGTCTTAGAAGACAACATTATTTTTTGCTGAGTTAAATCTTTTCTGCAAAAAGTCAGCCCACATTATTTTGAACAAAGGTTATGAATATCATTTGATAGAAGAAAAAACATGTGTTTAGATTTTTTAAGAAATTTAAAGAGAGATCAATCTTCAATATCAAAATTCTCCTAAAATTCATTTTTGGAAGTATGGGGATAGTAACTAACATTCCCACCTCACAAGTCAAGTGACTGATATTATACAAAAGCTACTGTACCCGTTCCTAACAACCTGAGGCAAACCTGAGATTCTGTTTTAAATCTCTTGAGTTATTTTCATGTGACTATCTTTTTTATTTGGTTTGGTAAAACAAATATCGATTTGTGTATGTGCATGTGTAACATTTCTGTTCTTTCTGTTGGCAAAGTGGCTACTTCATTTGTTTCTAAAATAAAATTGATGCCAGGGCTTATGAACTGGTCCTAAAAAATGATATTGGTTGATGCTTTCACACAGCACATGTGCATAGGAAAGGCCTGTACTAAGAAGCATGTTAAGCAGTGTACAGAAAATTACTCTAAAAAAGAGAAGAACTTTAGTGAATTTGAAATGACCTTTCCAGGCGGAAGACAGTGTTATAAACCCATTATTTCTTATCAGATTAGCTAATTCCTCGAATGCTGATTTAACGAAAATGCCAGTGGATCTTGATGGAATGTTCTAGTTTTTTCTGGAAGGATAAGTGACCACAGTGCCTCCACATTCAAATGTCCAGCAGTCAGAAAACTCACATGCTTACAGAAGTAGTGAAGATGCTCCTTGGGCTGGGCTGGCCTCCCAGAGCCAGGAGGCTTGCATGGGGAGTAATGTAATTCCCTCCTAACAGTTCTAGAACATTTACTGAGTATTTTACCCAAGCTTTCTGTGTTCATTCCAGGGCACTATGGCCACGGCTGCCTTACCAGAGAGTGGGTCTTCCCTTGCCCTGCGAGCCCTGGGCTGGGGTTCTCTTTATGCCTGGTGTGGAGTTGGTGTGATCAGCTTTGCAGTGTGGAAAGCCTTAGGAGTTCACAGCGTAAGTACCCAGCTTTGTGATGCCTGACTCTTGACTTTGTGTTGTCTAAAGTTCCTAGTTTTCAGATTTGCATATATTTTGGTCCCTGTTGTCTGAAGTAATGACCCAGAATATGACTAAGTTCTTCCCAATATGAAGCAGGCAACTTGTTAGAAGTAACTTACAAGTTTTTCAAATATGATTAATACTGATTCAGAGCCGACACTTGTTCTGTATAAATTGGTGTTAGTTGTTTAATAAAGTTAGTGATTTGGAACTACTTTGTATATTGTTTGACATCCATATATGTAATATAACATTTTAATTAATTTCTCAAATTATTAATGTGTTATATACATGTTTCAGAGAAAAATTGTAAGCACCCGTGTGTGTGTGTGTGTGTGTGTGTGTGTGTGTGTGTGTAAAATGGATACCCTGAACTAAAAATTATGCACTAAGAATGACTGGTTTCTTTGTCTTAAATGATCAGAGAGAAGCTCCGTGGACCAGGGTGTCCAAGCAGATGGTAGTAGACAGTGGTTTGCAGTTGGTGGTATTAGTGGCATAGATAAACAGAGATTTCTCATATCACAGTCAGCATGGAGTCCTTGTGGGTGGGTTTGGGGTGTGAAGTCTGGGATGTCTCTAGGCACTGTGTTGAGCATTGAGAAAGTGGACGGAGACAGCTTGAGAGGAGCAGGTGTTGGGTAAATCGGGCTCAGTGTGGGACTTGTGAGCTTGAGCTGTCTGTTTGATAGGCATGTGTCCTGAGCACTGTTTGATTGCCCTGAGGAGACATGTGATCAAGCCACCTCTTACAAAGGAAAGCTTTGATTTGTACTTTTCTCTCACAGTACACTGGAAAACATGGCGCACCTGTGCTTACCTCCCTCCAGCTTTACTGCACGGCCACTGTTGCCTGTTCACATTCCTCACAGTGAACTGGGACTCCTGAGAAAAGTCAGAAAACCTGTCACTGGAGGATTGTTGGCGATTATTGGCATTTGTTCCATTTCTCCCACTTCAGACATTAGACCAGCCATTTAGACATAGCTAACTAGAAGATGCTGCTTTTGGGAGCTGGTGAGGTTGGGTCGCTTGCCTAATACAGCATACCTTTCTGCCACCAGGCTGGAGCTTGGAACTCAGCTCTGAGTGTCCAGGGCTAGGTTTTCCAGCTTTACCTCCACTCGCAAAGATGAGAAGTAAAGTAGGGCGAGGGGAAGGCAGGGTTGGATTTGACCGGTCTGATCACTTGGTTCTCAGTAGCTTGCCACGCTTTCCTAGATCGATGTCAGTCTCTTACAGGGATGACCTTTCTCACCTCACAGAAGAGGAGACTTCTTAAGCCATCCCCTGAAGCAGAAAAATGCTTAGGCTATGGGGCAAGTGAAGAGAAGATTTATAGTTGACTATAATAAGAGAGTGGCTATCTGAAAAACTAAGAGAATGTTGACAGAAATATGTGAACAAATTAATAGGCTATGGGTAAATGGTTTACTTTCCTAGAAACATCACTATATGTCAGTATTGCTTTTTTAAAAGACTGCACAGGGTGCTTATGGCTCATAGCACCCAAATGTGCCATCTGTGTGTATGATGTCATTTTTATTAATTTGTACCCAAAAATAAAGCACAGCTGCCTGGGAGCTCAGGAGACCTCCCTGACTGACTGAAGTCTGTTTGGAGACACTTCTGCTCCTGTGGAAATGATAGGCAGTGGTGCCTTTTGCATTAGCCATGCGATGCTGGCTGACAGCCTGTGCTCCCAGTGCTTAGTGCTGTGGTCATCAGCAGGGTGAGAGCTGAGGTGTAGGATTACAAGAGTCACCACAGGCGAGGCCCCATTGCTGAAGACAGCACCTACGCACTCACTGAACGTGGAGAAGCCGATCTGACTCCTGCTTAGGGCCTTCATCCCTACGTTCCAGCATCTTTGGTACAGAAAAGTGCTCTGCACACTACCCAAGGAGAAACGTAGACACCAAGCCAGCCCCTTTGATCTTGAGTGCTGCTCTGCTATGGCAGTGCGGGGCAAGGGTAACAAAGCTTGTGGGAATGACAACCAGTGTGTGATCTGACCTAAGGGCCACCTCATGAGATGAAACCCATGCCTATCACTGCTTGGGTACCAAGAACCTGAGACTAAATAGCCCAGGGACCTAGACTAGAACCAAATACTGTAGTTCTAAAAAGAAAACAAATGTAGCAATAAAGTGACATTGTACTACACTCGCAGATTGGTGCCTCCGTTAGCCATCACTAGAGAAGCTTCCTCCTGCATCAGATGGGACCAGAGAAGGAGACCCATGGTCATACTGTGTAGAGTGAGAGACTGAAGAACACTTACGATAAATGGGATGTCTCCATCAAATTCCCCGCCCCCTGGCCCCACCCCACTCCCTATCCCAGAGGGACACCTCAAGGAACCCAGTGGAAGAAGAAGCAGAAAGAGTAAGCCAGAGGGATAGAGGACACCAAGAAAACAAGGCCCTCTAAACCAATGTGATCAACACAGAGATTGAGGCAGCAAGCCCAGGGCCTGCATGGGTCTTCACCAGATGGGGCCTAGAACTGAAAGGAGAAGTGGACACACACCCCATCTCTAACCCGAAGCTCGGAGTCTCACTGGAAAACAAACTACTCTTGAGGGTAGACTACATACCCAGCACTAGATGACTAGCAGGAAATGAACTCCACGGCATCTTTGACGGTCCCTTCTCTCTCAGTGTTGTGTCAGGGCTTTTCCATGTTATTATTTTATGTATATTTTTTCTTACCTTGTTTTACTCTACTAGTTCTCTCCCTCCTCCCCCACCCCCCCTCTCTCTGTGCACTTATGTGTGTAGTTTAGTGTTTTTATGGGATCACACTGCAGTTGAGTGGGTCTCTGTTTCTCATGCTTTCTCTTTGGCTCTTTTTCTTCCATTTGTTTTGTCCAACTTCGATGTAATAGTTCTATCTTATCATATTTTATTTTATTACTATCCTTAGAATCCTGTTTGTATGAGAGACAGTGGGGCTACCCAGAGCTGCCTCTGCAGAGACAGGGCTCCCCTAGCAAAGATCACAACCCTGCTCCAGGCTCCTAGATAGCAAGGAGGTGGGTCCACATGAAGGGAGTGGGAGGGAACTGGGAGTTCCCATGAGAGGAAAGGACTATTTTCAATAAAGGGGGAAAAGTAAATAAAAGAGTCATCATAAGAAATCAATCTAAATTTTCATAGACCAATAAAAGTAGGTTATCATACTCCTGAGGATTTGGCTTTATGGGCCAGACTGTGCTATTTTAGTTTCTAGAGCATGAACAACTTTGTTTTATATTATCAATAAGAGGATTGTTACCTAAGTAAACTATTTTCTAGTTAGCATTACTGAGTGTGAGAATATGTGGACTCTGACATTGCATCTTAATGTCCTGTAGACAGACAGCCTCTCTCCCACTTCAGAGGCTGCCGGGCTCTTCCAGTCCATCCGATCTCCAGAGACACCCCTCAGAACAAACCCTCTGCCTAAACCCTGTGCCAGGGCATGTCTTACAGGGTGGGGGTGTTTGTTAATCCATCAAGTTAGTCCTCTTGAACTCATTTGTGGGGCTACCCCGAGCTGGCTCTGTGCCCACACACTAGGACAGGACACAACCCTGCCCTAGGCTCCTAGAAGACAGTGTGCTGCCCTGCACTGACAGTTTGAGTTAAAACAGGAGTCTGCCCTGAGCCTAGCAGTGAACTTGAATCTCTCTTGAGTCTAGTCCCATTTGGGAAAATGCCACTTTTCTACAACTTAAGGTGACAGTCTCAGGATGACCCACTCCTCTGCACTGTGGAGGTGTACTAGGAGGTGGCCATTCCTAGATAAAAGCCGGCAGAGCAGAACCAACTCCATTGTCTGGTAATTGCCACCCTCTACCTTGAATTGTGCTCTCTGCTGTAAGTCCAGTTCCTCTCACCTGCCATCTAGTGGCTGATTGTGAGCAGCTCACCTGAAGCGCTTAACATTTCCCGTTTCAATTCACAGCTACCCCTGCTGGCCTGAGAGGCAACATGTTTAAACTGCTCAAATCAAAATTTCAGTGTTTGAAAGTGGTTTTGCTTTACTGCTTTATTACCCATAGTTATTGTGAAGTTTCATTGCACAGAGAACACATAGAATACATCAAGTGTAAAAATACATTTGTATCTTAGGTAGTGGGGTAGCATTTAAAGCAGATCTTCACTAAAAGGACAGTTGCTTCTCATAAGCTTTGGCATTAGTTGGCCAAAGCACTAACCTTGCCCAAGGTTTTAGGTGAGGCCTTTAGAAACCACTCCAAGTTTAGCATCCCAATGTCCTGACCAGTACTGAGCCAGCAATACAGCTTGATGCTCTATGTGAATTCACTGGTCATTTGGAATTGTGGTTGAATTGTGGTTTTTTATCATTTGAGTATGGTTGAGGCACTATTTCATCCCAGTAGCTTTACTAGTGGGGGACGGAAGTAGTTGGGAAAGCCTTTCCTGTAGGTTCCTGGGTTCCTGGTTCCCTCATTAAACCAGCTGTGCATGTGATTCCAGGAGACAGGCCATTCAGCCCTGGCAAGTACACATTGGGTCAGTGTGATTACACTGTTACTAGGACAGATGGCTTAGCAAATACTTGAGAGAAATATTATCTTAAGTGGAAACCTCCTGTTTGTAGAGGGAAGGAAATTTCTGTTATTGGCATGTTACTTGTGCAGTGACTTGTTAATTTTGTCACTAGTGTCCTTTATTATTTATTAGTTGGTATTAATTGGTGGTCAAAGGGCTTCTGAAGAGGTTTAGCTTATTTACAGCTATACCACCCTGTCTGTCTGTCTCTCTCTGTGTGTCTGTCTCTCTCTGCATCTGTCTCTCAAGGTGAAATGTTAACTATCCCACTATCTCTCGGTTGCTGTGATTATAACTAGAAAGGGCTTCGTGTGTGCTTTGCCTGTGGCCCTATGTTGTGTGATGTCACCTCAGAGGCCCGGCAGTCACCACCAGTTGGCATTACTGAGTGTG